CTGGCAGGTAAGGGGCAGTTCAGGGTGTTCTCGGGGCCCTGGCGGCAGTTCTTGGGGACTGCTTCCCTAGAGAGATTGTTGCTTTGTTCCGTTGGGTGCCTGTCTCTGGGAGCTCGCTAGCGGTTTGTATGCCGTGAATATATAACTATGAAGCGTTTATTGCATTAATATCTGAATAATTATTTGTTGCGCTCCTCAAGGTTGAGCGTATCCCTTTATTTGGAAAGAAACTGGTAAATGTTAACCAGTAAGTCAGTGACTTACAAACACTTAAATCATTCCTCAACTGTAGAGCATACCATAGTGCTGTTTCTTTATAGCAGAAAACAAACTCTAGGGTTATCATTTTTGTTGCTTTTAGGGACTGAGAATAAATACAGGTTTATAGTATGATGCTAGCAGAAGTCTGGAACAGATTTTAGTTCGTTTTTAAATCTTGATGCAAAGCTGCTTTTGTGTGTCAAGGTTTTTTATGGGTATATTCATACAGCATGAGAAGACTTCCAGGAGGAACGCTATTATCATGTTATCAGCAGTGAAACTGTTCTGAATAGAGAGCCATCTGTTTAATCCAGGCTGCCTCTGTCTGGTTTCAGCATTGAATGTTTTTCACTGAGATAAAATCTGCAAGATGCAGAGCAGTCTCTTCTGCTCTGTGGATGCAATATCAGGGTGAAAGGAGACACATGTTTACTTTACTGTAATTTGGGTGGGGTCAAACGGGGGACTGTGTGAGGAAGAGCTGTTTATTTGATATCTACCTGGGAGTTAAATATCCATCCTCTGGAGAGTGAAGTTCTTTCAGATACCTGTAAAATATTTCTTGCTTCTTTTGGCTGAAAGTTATTGGGTACTTGTTTAGAGTCCAGTGTTGTTAAGGAATGTTGATATTTTCCTCAGAAAATTTTTTCAATGGTCTACAAGCATGTTGGATACCAGACGTGTTGGTCTTTGTTTTTGAAGGAAAAAAATATGAGGTCCTGGTTTTATTTGATCTTTTTTTTTGTATTTTTCTTCACAGTACTTTAAAACATGGCTTGATGATCTGTGCATGAAGCCATAGTTTCATGTTTACATTCCTAGCTAAGTCAGTAATGCTCAGCAGCGATCACATAATTTTGACTTTGTGTGACCTAGTGTGATAAAACAGAATTATAGCAGATGATTATACTTAGCAATTGTTCATCTTCAAACATGCTATCAATTTCACAGTTTAACAAGGTTCTGGGTAGCTGTTCCCCCTCTTGTCCCAAGTACATTAAAACTGTGTGTGTAGTTGACAGATTTGCTCCACTGTGCAGGTGCTTAATGTTTTGCTTCCTAAATTACCTTTCTCTTCAGTGTGGACTCTATGTTTCTTTTTCTTTCCAAGATAGAAGACTGAAAATATGAAGGATGTGATGTTTTAGGGATACAGGAAGCTTTTTTGAAGCTGCAGCTTCACCAAATGGATAAATATCCAGTCTGGATAAATTCCAAGGGTGCTTGCTGTCTTGCTATATAGCCTGTTTTTTAGAAACAGACTTCACCATAGTTACTTATTTTTCCAGGCTAAACTACTGTAATATGCACAAAGAGCTAAAACAACAAAAAGATGTTTTCACCTAGTTCAGAATATACGGGATGCCTTTTAGGAAGGTAAGGTTATTGAGACTCCATATACAAATAATCAGTACTTCTTATGGTTTATACAGTAGCTTTTTTTTTTTTCTGTGCTATTCATGATGATGATAATTATTGGAAAGATTTATGTTCTAGGAGATGGGTATGTTCCCATGTACCCAGCCTTGCAAGTTATATTTAGCTGGAATTCCTGATTATGTTTACTAAGGTTGGGGGAAGGTGGCAGAGCTTTCTTGGTAGCTTATATGTGTCCTAGGTTAACAGGTTGCAGGATACGTGATTGTTACTGCTCTTCTCAGCCTGTGCATAGTAGTAGTCGTCTCCTTATCATTGATCTGTGTTTAGTAGTATGCTCTGCATGACTCTCTTTCTGGAGTAGAGAGCTCCATGACTGACGGTGATAGTAGTAGTCGTCTCCTTATCATTGATCTGTGTTTAGTAGTATGCTCTGCATGACTCTCTCTCTGGAGTAGAGAGCTCCATGACTGACGGTGACTTGAGGAATAAAGTATTCTCTGTTTTGAGGTGGCAACAAATGTTTCCTGCAGGGGGTGGGGGAAGAGCTCAATTAATGTCTTAACGTATTATGTGAACTACTTAAAACTAAGTATTGCATCTTTTTTCTCCTGGAATTACATGATACTTTCTAAGACTATATTAGTGGTTATTTGCACTTCCTTGAAAGCCGGTTGTTTGAATGAAAAGATCAATCCTGCTGTAGTTACAATAATCATGGAAAAGTTCTTTC